AGTTTAATTTCCTACCCCCAACCCTGGATGTCACATGAGGAATTAATTTCCACAAATATTAAGATCATAATTTTCTTCACAGAGTATTATCCAAAACCACCTTGAATTTTCAATGTTGTGGTAAAGCTGTAATATTCATAGTAAATTTTTAAATGTGGGGAACTGAGTCAATGAATACCCAGATTCAAATGTTAAGTGACATATATTCAGAGAAAACTCTTACTTGAAAAGATACTTGCACCACAATGTTCATAGCACTAACAACAGCCAAGACATGAAAGCAACCTAAATGTCCATTGACAGAAGAACGGATAGAGAAAATGTGGTGTATATACACAATGGAACACTACTCAGCCATAAGAAAGAATGAAATGATGCCTTTTACAGCAAGATGAATGGATGTACCCAAAGATTATCATATTAAGTGAAGTAAGTCAAAAGTCAGATGATATCACTTATATGTGGAATCTTAAAAAAAAAGACACGAACTTATTTACAGACCAGAAATAGACTCACAGACATAGGAAACAAACTTATGGTTACCAAAAGGGAAAGGGGTTGGGGGAGGGATAAATTAGGAGTTTGGGATTAACAGATATACACTATTATATATAAAGCAGATAAATAACAAGGACCTAGTATATAGCACAGGGAATTATATTCAATATCTTGTAATAACCTACAATAGAAAAGAATCTGAAAAAGGTTTTGGTTTTTGGTTTTATATGAATATATATTTTCTATTACGTATTTTATTATGTAATAGATATTATATATTTTATATTCATATAAAACCAAAAATCAAACAAAACAACCCAAATGTTAAGTGCCAAGATGAAATCCTGGGAATTCAAGCAGCCGAATAAGCATTGTTACCATGAATTGACTGCTGGTGCACAGGAGAGTCAAAATACAAGTCCTGTAAGGAAAACTCTGAACACGCGCAGTTGATTATAGTCAGTCTGATTAAACACAGTCCAAAGAGAAATGATTTCCGCTGAGCAAATCAGGAAACAAAAACAAGTATCTGAAAGCATTATGGCAGAGTTGGTCACTAGGAAGCAAATTTCAACTTGAGATGTAACCTGGTGGAAAATTTTATTTTGATTACTTCTCTTGGGCATGTAAGATTGCTGACTTAATCATATTCATCCCCAATAGAAAGAAATCAGGGGCTTCTAACTGAAAATAGACAATAATGTGATGAAGTTTTCTAGTGCTATTGATTCAGTCGTCAAAACCTGACTCTGCATGTTGGGAAACTGATGTTGCAGGGCTTTTCCAGAGACGGGAGATGGCTCACAATCACCGGGCATCCTATTGATCCTCGGTGGGGGCTGCAAAGTGTCCTTTCAGCTGTAGGAGAGGACAAGTGTGCCCTGCTTAGATCTCTGGGTGTCCATCCTTGAAGCCTCAGGAAAATCCTAACACAAGGTGTTTAGGTTTTAGTCAGGGAGGCACATATATTTTGTTTTCCTAACTCTCCTTAGCCACATACACACCTACAGCTGCCTTTTTTCCTATTCTCAGGTCGCTGAAGACTTATTTTCTTCATGTTGGGCATTAAATACCCTTGCTGGAAGAATTCAGACCTTTCTTCTGTCACAGCGATGCTTACACTGCATTTCCCTTGCCATGCTGAGCTGCTGACTGGTTCTACTGGGACTGACACTGGTGCATCACAGAAAAACAGTCTAGCCGGTGGTGTCCAGCTGGCTGGCTGGCAGACCCTTTAGATGTCATTTGCTTTTTGGTTAAAATGTGATAAGTGACTGTGTCAAGGAACTTTGATCTTTGGCTTTTTCGGAAATCAGAAAACTGTATTCCCCTTTCTTTTTACTAAATACCTTTTTTTTTTTTGTCATTGAAGCTCAGGAAAAGTTCCTTTTCCAGATCAGTTTCTATAAATGAACAAATTTGGTCATTTACTTACACACTAAAATCTGGATGGAAAGTTCTATTAGTACACGTTGAATAAGTAATGCCATTAGCTACTACCACGTTGTTTTTTTTTTTGAGAAAACGATTTCAGTTTTGGATGTTCATTATTTTCAGAATTAAACTCTTGGCTCCAGTTTTGAGATGGACCTGAATATGTTTTTTCATTTGTTTAAAAGGAAAACACACTGTTTCTCTGTGCGAATAGAGCAAAACAAGCACCCCTCTATAGGGCATTTTTAGAATTCTTCAGACCTTTAAAAGAGACTTTGCTGCTGACTTTACTACCAGAACCCCATCCATCTTTCCCCTGCACTCGTTTTACGAGAATGTAAATAACTTTGTTTTACAACATGCCCTTCTGCACAGAGGCCTGGGTCGCTCCCAGACTCACTGTGGTCTCCGCTGATGTAGTTCGGTGCAGCTGGTCTTAAGTTTTTCTGTAGTTCGGTGCTTCTTCCTCTCAGCTGATTCCCTGTAACTTCAAAACCACAGCAGTGGCCCTCTAGCCTTGCAATAGTGCATGGACAAACAAGAAAACCAGCAGTCAGCCGGACAGATTCAGGGCTGGAAAGCAGGTGGCGTGCTGGACTATCAGGTTCAGAAGGCACAGCTGGGCAAACAGCACATGCTGGGCTCCCAGTGTACCTGGCAGAAGGCAGAATTCCTGGCCCTTTGGATTTCCTCTTCTCTTGTCTTCAATAGCATCATCTCCCTCCCTTCTTTAAATGCGCAGTCTGGTTGAGTACTTTCTCCACAGATGGCTGGATATTCCAGCCTTTCTTCAGTTCTTCCATCAGAGGTGGGAGGTGATTCCATGCTGCTCCATCCTAACCCTCTTGGGACAGCTGCACTCAGCACACAGGCACTGCCCTTGGGCACTTCATCAATTATGAGAAAGAAAAGAAGCATCCTTGGCCCCCTAGGAAGACAGTCACCAGCATCACCTGGGTCAAGGTGTTCCAGGATGATCTCTTCCGGACCTCTGGCTCCTTCAATCTGTAGATTATCACCTGATTACTCATGCGTGAGAGTCTAGATTTTTCAGTCTAGATTCAGTGTCAGTTTCCTCTAAACAGAAAACATGCTTAACCTACTGAGTTGCCCAAAGGGCTTGGCACATGGTAACTGTTCAAGAGGTTCTGACTTATTAGGATCCAAAGCCTCCTTCAAAAAGATTACAATTCCAAACGAGAGCAGGACCAGAGTGACGTGGGGCATCCTGACATTGGTTTTTACCAAGATTCCTAGACTGTCTCAGCAGTTGTTATTCAGGGGGGAAATTCTCTTATGACCTACAAAATCTCTCTACTTTTTCCCCCCAGAATTCAACCTAGGAATCCGGCTTCCCATTCTGACTGTAGATCAGAACCACCTGGAGTGCTTGCTAGAAAGACAGCTGTCCTGCCACCACCTCCATTCTCCTCACCACTAATTTTGATTCATCAGATATGTGATTCAGTTGGAAAATATGCATTTATTTTAAGTTCCCTGGGTAATTGTCTCACGCCTGGCAAGGTTTGGGTGCGCCGCCTGCAGAGAATGCTGAAATGCAGAGTTGTTTGCTAAGAGAATAGTGAGACTGACCTTTCACACCCTGCAAAGTTGTGGGGGAGGCTGAGGGTGTAGCACTCCACAGCCATAACAATCGGTTTCCTATCAAGGCTGCCACAGGGAGGGGTGGAGAGTCTAGTTGATCATTTACACAAAACATACATTTTCACTTTTGGTGCTAGAGGTGCCTCCTCATTGGTAAGCAACAGACTTTTCCCTCGTGTGATAAGCACCTTTCCAATTCATGACACTGGTCATTAAGATATGTATTTGAAGCTGTTGTGCTGGGCATCAAAGTAGTGAGATAGCACTGGCTGCAAAATGAAAGTTTAATGAAGAGAAAAATGTATATAGAGGGCAGGAAGCATGTACTGCTTGAGAAGTCTCTGTCTGATGGGGGGTATGGCATAGCTTAACACTAAAGTGTGTGCTTAGTATGCACGAGGTCCTGGGTTCAATCCCCAGTACCTCCATTAAAAAGAAATAAATTTGGGAGTTTGAGGTTTGCAAATGTTAACCACTATATATAAAAATAGATAAAAGAAAAACAAATTTAAAATAGCACAGGGAACTATATTCAATATCTTATAATAAACTTTAATGAAAAAGAATATGAAAACGAATATATGTATGTATATGCATGACTGGGACATTATGCTGTACACCAGAAACCAACACACTGTGATTGACTACACTTCAATAAGTAAATACATAAATAAACCTAATTATCTATCTCCCCAAAGAAAATAAAAATAATAAATTAATAATTTTTTTAAAAAGAAAAGTCTTTGCCTACCATGGGCTGTTGCTAAGATACATCCTTGTTGACTAGAAGACAAGGAACAGGGTCCCAACAGCACCAGCCCTGCCCTCTCCCTGCTGACAGATGGCTCTCCCAGTTAGAGGAGTCTCCTCCTTTCATCCCTCATGCTTCTGTCCGGGCTCACCCATCCCCAGCCCCAAAGCACGGTTAAGTCAACAGAGCTGGCACAATGCTTTTTCTACGGCGCTTATTAATGAGTCATTCATACACCATTTACCCAATAGCCGTGTTGATCCAAGCAGTCACACAGCTGTATTTCCATTAGCCATCAGGGTTCCCCAATATTGAATCAGTCAAGTCTCAGCCTGGCAGCCTTTATGATAAAGATGGTCTTCTTTTCCACTAATGTAGCAAGTGTGCTTGTGGACACAGAGTTACAGGACACTGGCTAGCATCTTATCATCCACTTATCTGAACAAAAAAGGCAGGCCATTCAAGTCTCATTTCTCACGTAGCCCAGCAAACAGAATGATGATTGCATTTCTGCACGTGGAGGAGGGCACATTTCCAATGTCATATCAGAGAATTTAGAAATGTTATTACCCCACCCGTTAGAGCTTTAGCGGTATGCTGCTTGACGTAACGCCTGCCTTTCCATACACTGACTTACATTTGCTTCTTCAAAGATTTCAAGACATTCTGCTGACATTCTTATTCTGAAACAAAGGAGGGCACAATGTCACTGCTCCTTTTTATAATGCTGAAAGAGTCCAAAGAAGCTAACTGGAAGAATGAAATAGAAATTGGATGGAGGCTTCAAGACCAAGATTACTGCTAACTGGTTAAGTAACTTTGGATGTTACTTGACTCACTAAGCTTACTTTTCTCAGTCATGCATTTTTTCATTTAATATATGTTTCTTAAATTATTTGCAAATATTTAGAGCCACAAGAGTCTCAAAAACAAAGTGGTTCAGGAGTTCATGTTTTTGGCTCAGAAAGACAAGAGAGGATCTCATAGCCTTGAGGCCAATGGGGAAGCTGTATCCTGGGCCCTGGCGGGGCCACTTTTATCTTCAGAAATGCCCTGGGCAGTTCACAAGTTGTGACCTTAATGAACATGGCCTTTTGGTATAGAAACAGATGCTTTTTCTTATTCTTAGTAACTGCATTACAATAAGTCATCCAGTAAGGTTCTAGTCAACACTCTTGGACTTCATTTTGTGTGGGACATAAAACCATTTTGATTTGACTCTGACTGAAGCTTGGATGTTTTGGCAACAAACTTCCTCTTGAATTAAGTTCTGCCTGGGATAAAAATCAATGGCTATTTCCTGAGTTCACAGCCAACTGAAAGCAGGAACAGGCAGCTCAGAAACCTACTTGGTTTCAGAAAAGCTCACCTTGCTCAAGGTTAACTGTTTGCTACAGAAATCCTCCAGCAATCCATAAAATGCGCTGAATCAAAAACTGTCTACTCATCAAGTGGGAAGTGTGTGGAGAATGGACTGAATTAGCAAGCGCTGGCCTGTCCCACTCAGGTGCCTGTGTTCTTCCTGGCCATCTAGGGGCCTGGGGGCAGCCCTCGGGGACATCTGACTGCAGCCCCTGCTGTCCTTGGCTTTGCTCAGGGGACCCAGGGCTCCCTGCTGAGGAAGACCCGATTTACTGGGACTTTTTTTTACCCAAGAGGCCGACATGGGGACACCTCTGCAGGGCTGTGAACCCCAAGCCAAGCAGCACATTGTTGAGCCCACAGCTATTAATAAAAGATCATCCAGGCTGTCCTTTTTTGAATCAGAAATGAAAAGAATCAAGGATATCTCTCTTCATTCTTATTACAGCATCAAAACCCACATCAAAACCTAGCTTTCAAGTGCCTTAAGAAGGCTTTTTTCCCCTAAAGTGCCTGAAATAGGTAAGCAAGGGCCTAGAGAAGGAAAGAGTCATATTCACTTGAATGAGTGAAATTGACCCTTTTAAAAAATACTATGTTAGTTTATAGTAAATTATCCATAATTTCTGGGAATATTTGGGGGAAATAATGTAGAGAAGGAGTCATATTCTTTTTTGCCACATGAAAGTATTTGAACTCTAGAGATAATGCCTTTTTTGGCGGTGGGGTTGGGGGGATTGGTTTACTTATTTATTTATTTTAGTGGAGGTACTGGGGATTGAACCCAGGACCTCGTGCATGCTAAGCACACAATCTACCCCTGAGCTATACCCTTTCCTCCAAGAGAATGCTTTTGTGTAAACTTTAGAAAGAGTGTTTGAATGAACTTTGGAACCCCCAACTGTCAGATCATTCTCCTTCAGTTACTCCTGAAAAGCAAATTAATTTGACCGGATTCTTTCGTGATGTTATTGTACTTCCTCTTTGGAAGAGGGGTTTGGAGCATCAGGTGATGTGAGACAGCGCACCCGGGCATCTGGCACCTGGGCATCTGGCCCCAGCCCCAAGCCTGGCCAGGGGGCAGCAAGAGGGGAGAAGCCACATCTACCGTCCTCCGTGTCCAGAAGACACCCCACCCATGATACTGTGGCTGGGGGACAGTCTGAGCTGTTCAGTTATGCTTTTGCTCCATAATCACCCTCCGTTCTCTCCCCCTGCCCATTTCTCTCCTTCCTTGTCTCACTGCCTCAGAGGAGACGCAGGGTGAGACAGGAAACAGAGGGGTCTGTAGACCCTTTGGGATGTTGTTTTCCAAAAGCCAAACTCACGGAAGAGGACAGAGTTTGAAGGAGAGGCAGACCCCTGGAGGATGTCGGAGGGAGGTAACTGGGCTTAGATGAGGTCGTGAGAGTGGGACCCTCATGATGGGGTTAATGCCCTTTTAGGAAGAAGAAGAGACACCACTGTGATCTCTCTTTTCAGCGCACGCAGGGAGAAAAGGCCATGTGAGCACAGGGCTAGAAGGTCGCTGTCTGTGACCAAGGAAGTGGGCCCTCACCAAGAATAGAATCTGCCAGCACTTTGAGTCCTGGACTTCCCAGGCTGCAGAACTTTGAGGAATAAATATCTGTGGTTTAAGCTACCCAGTCTGTGATGTTTCATTATAGCAGCACAATCAAAGACCACATTTGTAGAACATTTCATCATTTTTAGCGCTCTGTGGGCCTCCCTCCCAGATTCTGATGCAACCTTGGGAGGGAGAGGAAGAGCCCCAATACTGACTAAATGAAGCCCACGTCTACTCAGGTAAAGGCCTGAAGTATCAAGATGAAGTTGATGAACAGATTATAGGGAAAAAAAACCCCAGTACTTCTTGAATAAATGCATGGATGGACAGAATCATTTCAGCAGACAGACAGTGCAGTGATCTGACCGTTTCTGTTTCCCCCTGCCCCAAATCCGTATGTTGAAACCCTAATCCTGCTCATGAGGTTATTAGGAGGTGAGCCCTTTGGGAGGTAATTAGGTCATGAGGATCAATCGCTCATAGACAGGATTAGCGCTCCTATAAGGGACCCCACAGAGCTCCCTCACCCCGCCCACCACATGAGGACACAGTAAGAAGTCTGTGACCAGAAGAGGGCCCTCGCCCCACCTTGCTGGCACCCGGACCTCACACTCCCAGCCTCCAGCAATGGGAGAAGTAAATTTCTGTTGTTATAAGCCACTCAGTCTGTGACATTTTATTATAGGAGCCTGAATGCGCTAAGACAGGTGGCTTTCTATTTTCGAACCATCCTGTATTTGAATTTTGAGAGTCCCACAATTTCCACTAATCAGAAGTAATAATAATAAATGGGATTCTACTTTGTCCATCTTTTGTATTTTACAAAAAAAAAAAAAAAGTCAAATTCACCCGGAGCCAGTGCTCTTGGCACCAAAAGAAGCGCTTTTTTACTTTTATCCTGCCAAAGGAAATTCAAGGTCAGGCTATGTCTTTAACCTCTGGAACCCTATAGTTTTTCATCCACAATACTGAGAAGGCACTTACTGAACGGACAAGAAACAGGCACAAAATGAGGTATTGACATTCAGTCCCTGGCTGTTCCACTCTTGGTCTCCATGGCTGTGACACCAGGAATTCATTTCTGTCCCCATGTTTAGTCAATGCTGAGCGAACAGCGGGTACTTGGCAGACAAATGATGATGAAGAAACTTCATATTGATAGCAACGCCCTTGAACATTTGTCAATTTTGTTATGGTCCACAAGGCAGGTCCAAATATTTAATGTGGTTTGACACTTGCAGCAACACTGTATGCCCCTCTTGCAGGTAAAGAAGCACAGAGACCTTAAGTGAGAGGTTGTGGTTAAGGTGTCCTGTCACACGGTAGAAGCTCCATAGAAGTCTGAATTGTTCCCACAGTGATGCAGAGCTGGTTTTAGCCCCCGTCTTCACACTCTGAGTCCTGGCTTCTTCCTTGATGACAAAGCCACCTCTATTTTTTTTGTCTTTTTTTTTTTAACTGAAGTAGAGTCAACTACAATATGGTGATTTCTGGTATATAGCATACTGCTTCAGTCATATATATGTAAATTTGACTACAAGATATTGATTTTTTTTTTTTTTTTTTTTTTTTTTTTTTTTTTTTTTTTTTTTTATATATAGTAGTTAGTACCTGCAAACTTTGAACTCCCAATTTAAAAGCCACCTCTTTTAACCAGAACTTGGAAATGCAGATGTTTGTTTTCCTCATTTTGCTTCATAATAAACGTCACATAATGTTCCTGGTTTTTCTGGCTCTCTCAGTGAGGCTCTTGATAGAAAACACTGAAATAAAGATTTGGCATCAGTAGCCTCACAACTTCTTCTCAGTCTCATTTCTTACTCTCTGTCCAGTCTTCCTACTTCCTTGTTCTTTTGTGCTATCTGGTTTCTTTTCCTGCCTGAGGAGCGAGTTGTGGCTGCTGGGGACAGTGGAGCCACATGGCCTGGTTCATGGCTCTGCCCCTCACCCTCAGCAGCACCTCCTGAGCCTCAGGCTTCTCGCCTGTAAAACATGGAGAGCACTCACTTCACACGGCACTGCCATGAACTGGGCTCACATAAAGAAGCCAGCAGAGTCCTGGCCGTTAGAAAGTACATTGTAAGTGTTAGGTGCTGTGGTCTCTTAGGAAAGCCACATCATCAACTCATCTGGACTAAAGTGTGTCTGACTTTTTGGTTTTTTTTTTTTTGGTTATGACTGTTTTTACATTTTAATTTACATTTACAGTCCTCAAACTTTGAGACTAACCAGAATTGCCTGGGAAGCTGTCCCCCTGGCTGGGTTCTGAGACAGTAAGCCCGGGCCAGGGCTGCTGCCCTCCAAGCAAGCCTGAGGGGATCAATGTTCAAAAACCACAAGGAGTGGGGAGGGTATATATAGCTCAGTGGCAGAGTGCATGCTTAGCATGCATGAGGTCCTGGGTTCAATCCCCAGTATTTCCATTAAAAAATACATTTAAAAACCTAATTACTGCACACACCCCCGCCCAAAAAAGAGAAAGTCAACAAGTTGGAATTAACAAAATTAAAAAACAAAATAAAACAACAACAACAACAACAAAACACGTATAATAGAAAGAGCCAAGGCTTTGGAGGCAGAGACCAGAGTTGGTTTCAAGTCATGGGATCTGTCACTTAACTCTCCACACCATGTCCAAAAACTAGGCACTGAAATATCTCTGTCATGCGGTTATTATAAGAAAAAAAGCAGAAAATGTATAGAGGTCCTGTGTATAGAGCACAGTGGGATCTCAGTGCATGGGGGTAGTTATATACAAAAGGAAGCTCAGAGAAGTTCTAACTAATCCTCCTTGTTTTAGAGAAGGAAAAGCAGACTTCTGCAGTTAAACAAATAGGTGCTCAAAAGACACTCACTGAAAAGTAACCAGACCTCGAACGTCAGAGCCGGACTTGAGTCTGTCCTTCCTGTTGTTATTAGTGAGTAACACTCTCAGGATCTTGAGAAGGGGTCGTGCTGACCACACTGCGCTAGATTGGTAAGGCAGGGGTTTTATGCATCAAGGAAGGAAGCACCACGTAATTATAGCATGATTTGGGAGAAGGAAGGATTAACTTCTTTCCTTTTTTTTTAAGTCTTTTCATTCTGATTACCTTTATTTTATTCTTTCTTTTATTTTACTATTTTTTTTAAATAGAGGTATTGAACTCAGGACCTCATGCATCCTAAGCATGTGTTCTACTACTGAGCTATCCCCCTCCCCCCCCAGAAATATGAACTTCTCCTCCTCCTCTTCCTCCTCTTCGTCTTCCTCCTCCTCCTGCCCTTCGCCCTCTCATCCTTTGGCAGATGCTCTGTGTTC